CATATGAAGAACGGTTGCAGGAACTGGGTATGTCTAGTTTAATAGAAGGACTAGGGGAGACACGATAGCAGTGTTCCAATATCTCAGGGGTTTCCACAAAGAAGAGGGAGTCAAACTATTCTCCAAGGCACCTGAGGGTAGAACAAGAAGCAATGGGTGGAAACTAATCAAGGAGAGAAGCAACTTAGAACTGAGGATAAATTTCCTGACAGTTAGAACAATTAATCAGTGGAACAACTGGGCTCCAGAAGTTGTGAATGCTCCAACACTGGAAGTTTTTAAGAAGATATTGGATAACCATTTGACTGAAGTGGTGTAGGGTTTCCTGTCTAGGCAGGGGGTTGAACTAGAAGACCTTCAAGGTCCCTTCCAACTCTCTTATTCTATGTAAACATCTGAAATTTTGCCAATGAAAGGGCAGGATGCAATCAAATCTTGCCAATTAAAGTGCAAGATATGATCTAGGAAGTTCTAAGAATTAAGACTCATCCAAATGTACAGAACAAATAAATTGTAAAGCATGATTCCATGAGGGTGGTATGACAGATACTTTATAAAAGATTCCTGGTTTCTAGAATGCTGCGATTTCTGAAGACATTTCTGTTTCAAGAGGCCAACTGGTTTACTCTTCCATGGATCTCTCTGTCAGCACCGCTCTTCTCCTGACCATCTCCTGCTACCTGGGGACTTCCACGGCCCGAAGTTACCAATATGTACTCACTGACCATATGGGAGTGGTTGGGGTAGCTGGGGCTTAAGTGAGTTTTGCCCTGAAGGCTATGCAAATGGCTTCTCCCTGAAGGTAAAGTTTATATTTCAGAGGTTCCTTTATTTCTCACCATTACTTGAAATTAATTCTTCAGTTTTCCCCTTTGTCTTTAAAGAAAGGCCACAAGATGCGTGTTGATGCTCAACACTTTTTGGTTCTATTATCAAAGAAATATTAACAAGTTTGGTGTGCAATACTGTGTGGCGGAACTAGTTTTGATCTGATTCATTGTCCCATATTGATTGGCAATCCCGAGAAATGACGGCTGAAGGACACCAAGGGCGGAAGGGCTGATCTGGAACTTCATCAGAGTCTTATATTCTTAGGTAGAACCAGACCAAAGGAATGGTGACAATACAGCTCTGAATGGAATTCGTTTGTACTGTACCACAGGCAAAGCAATTGAGTCTACAGTTGGACCGTGAGTAACTTGACTTTCTTGGCCTATTTTATTTTCTTGTCACCAGGAATGGGGGAGGAGATAACTGATGACTTAGTTTATTGAAATCTATTGATTTCAGAAGGGGAAGCACTGGAATTAGTGCTTGTACTGTTGTGCAATGGTGTCTCTGAATTAGCAGCTGAGACATGGATGGAGACTTGTTTATTACTGAGAAGTTCCAAAATAGCTACTAATATTTTGTGGGCCACAGCAAATGTATCTCCAACCTTTCAGCTTTCTTGAAGTGTTCATTGTTCTTTCCTGACATTCATTCATGCCCCAAACACCCCTTTATTGATGTAATGAGCCTCGGTGGTGCAGTGGTTCGAGTACTGCGGCTGTACTGCGTGCTACTTTGGCAGTTCAAATCTCATCAGGCTCAAGGTTGACTCAGCCTTCCACTCTTCCGAGGTGGGTAAAATGAGGATCCAGATTGTTGGGGGCAATAGGCTGACTCTGTAAACTGCTTAGTGAGGGCTGTAAAGCACTGTGAAGTGGTATATAAGTCTACGTGCTAGTGCTATTGCTAGTCTCCCCCTCCCACTTCTCTCATTATGCAATCCATGCTTCTATCTGCTGTTCTTATAACTCTGTTTGCGAGGAGATGCAAACTGCAGTCTTGAACTACATTGTGCAATTGCTGTTTATGAAAGTCAGAAGTGTGGCTGCTATTAACGTCCTATACTTGAATTCTGGGGATAGCTCTTTGAATATCAAATCCCAGTCAATTCAGTAACATGCTAAAGAGTATTTTTGTTACTGTGTCAAAGACTGATGGCAATGTCTATAATTTATAGAACCTTTTGTTTATTTATGAGATTACTTACACAGGTTCATTGCCAATGAAGATCTCAGCAGTCAAAATGCTTCAAATCAGGATTAGAGCAGCAGTCCTGAGAGATTGTTCCAATTTTATTTATTGCAAAAGAGTCTCTCCCCAAAGAAAACCATGGGGAAGGGCCACATAGCAGCCACAGGGGACACTCTATTGTCTTGTGGTACGCCATATTCAAGGTAACCAGGGAAACCGAGACAGAAGCTCAGACCTCCCGTAAGAAAATGAAGCATTGAATTTCCACAGGTGCCTTAGTAGCTGACTAATGACTCATCTGTTCACTGGTGGGTAAGGGGAAATGGGGCTTACTATACTGCAATTTCCGGAATAAGGAGTCTGTGCTCTAATGGAGTCTGAATGTGACATGGATTGGGAGTAGTCTTGGGAATGTGGTCAAGGGAAGATTTGGGATTTTAAAAATGTATTCTTCATTTTTCCCCCCTAGGAGCTTATGACAGCAGCCACAAGATCCTCTTCCCTTGTTTTTTTTCCCCTCTACAACAGCCCAATGAGTTAAGTCGAAAGTCAATTATAGGCCCAGAGATAATGAATCTTGATACTCAGGGATAGAGGTCAACTGGTTCCTAGTCCCAGATTTTAGCCATTATGCTTGAGTCTTGAGGCATGATGAAAAGAGCTTAATCAACAAACCAAAGAGATGTATATCCATCTTTTATTGGCAGGTGGGGAGACTGGACCCTAACCCAGTTCTGCAACTCAAGCTACCTGGTTTCGTTTTCTCTGAGAGTGCAACTCTTTCAAGGAGAGGGTGATGATACTGCAGCTAACAACATCCAGTTCGCCTGCAGTGATGGTCAAGGCATGATGGACCATGGCAAGATTTGGGGTGATTTTGGCCCATGGAGCCTTCGCTGCCCCTCGACTGGTATATGTGGGCTGCAAACAAAGGTAGAGGATGTACAGAGGAACTGTGATAACACAGCACTCAATGATGTGCGTTTTTACTGCTGTTAATGGCTGAAACATGTTTTGTCACCTAGAAATACGCTTTTGTGTATTTCCCCCAGAAATACGCTTTTTCCCCAATATTAACTTGAGAAGAGAGTATCTGTTTGTGTAAAATGTGGTAATACAAGGTAATCACCCCCACCAAGCGTGTCTTGAAATGGGCTCAGATTGGAGAGAAAAAAATGTGGTGGCAGAAACCTCAAGCATTGCAAAGATTGATTATCTCCTCTCTATTATTTTGAATCAAGTCACAGAAGCAAATTGTAATTCTGTACTACTGCTTTCTTGCTGGCAAATAAAATTATGTTGCATCTTCAAAGTCATTCCTTTCTTTCATTGAGCCAGGTTTGGGCCACGATAATATGTATTTCTTTGGGTTTATTTCTTCTTGCATTTCACTTCAGAGAATACTAAATTTTATATTAAAGAAAATAAACTATAGGTGGGCCAGCACTAGTTAAGAACCAACCAAAATGGATGATGTATGTGTTTTTATCAGATGTGGATAATGAGCTACAAAAAATTTCTTCAAAAATTTTAGACAAAGCCTACAAATAATCACTTATCCAAATTACCATTTTTCTGTTCTTCAAACACTTATATAAAAAGATCTCTCCTCCAATCCCATGCCTTTCATTGGCCCTGAATTTTTATCTTTATGTATTTATTGATTTGATTTGTACATCATTACAACCTAATCAGGCTCTTGGTTGCTTACAAATTGACACGAACCCAGTTTGGGATAAATTGAAATATAACTAAAATTCCTAAAGGTAAATAACTCAAGAACGTGTTGCCCTGAAACTCTTCAGAAATGGTCCATTTTTAGCTTCTTCTTGAAGGTACCTGGAAGTTAATCTTAGATCAAGCAAGATGCCTTTTCCTGAGGTCTGGAACTGAAAAGCTGACCCTTGATCTTCTGAAAATGAGGAACTATCAGCTGCTTATCCCAACATGACCACAAGCCTAATTCCACTAGGAAAATGTGTCCTTTTGTTAACTGATATTAATACCAGACCAACAATGAAGTCATGAACAATCCCCCAATCAAGGAACTACCAACTCAGACAAACAATCAAGCAGTAANCAGGAAGATACTAGATTGTGCAGAAATGAATAGATTGACACCAAAAATTAAACAGAAAGAAGATGTAGAATATTATCAAACATGGAATTAATTTCACCAATGGTTGGAAAAAAGGGGTGGATCTTAAGAATGTAAATTTGCATTGTTAAACAAATTAAATACCCAGACAACCCGATGTTTATTAACCACTAAGAAATGTACTTAATAGAAAATCGATAAAAAAATAGTAAGGTTTGGATCCATTCTATCACAGAGACGTGTGTTCATATTTCTTATTGTCTATTCTTACCACTATAATTGTGAGTCAGAGGCTTGCAGCATTGATTGAGTGACTTCTAAATGAAGTCAGCGCAAATAAAGTCTGGATCTAGAAAGACAAGAATATAAAATAAAAGCAGTAGCTTCTTATGAAACATTATATTAATTTCTGAGATGGTTAGGGAAGGAAAATATCTAACATATTAAAATTGAGAGACATACTTTAAGTAGAGCAGTCACCCTGTTACTTCTTTCTCTTGCTATTTTTTTTTTAATGTGGATTATATTTAATTTGCAAAGTCAATGCTGATCTTTAGCAAACTTTAAAAAAATTAGACTTCCTACATGGTAGATAAGTATTGTTTTCCTGTCAGTACCTGGACTAATCTAACCAACCCGAAATTAATATTACCAGTCTATAACTCCTGTTTCTCTAAGGGTTCCATTTTTGAAGATTTTTGGGGGCCATTTATTTTGGAAAAATGGGCCAAAAAAGCCACAAAAATAGGCCAGAAAAGCCTTGAAAATGGGCCAAGAAAAGGCAAAATAATGGGCCAAAAAAACTGAAAAAATGGGGCAAAAGGTGAAAAAATGGCCCGAAAAAAGCCTCCAAAAGGGCTTCAGCAATATTCAATCTATAAGATGCACAGACATTTTTCAAACCCATTTGGGAGACAAAAAAGTGCATCTTATAGTCCAAAAAATACAGGTATTTATATAGCCATGAATTTTTCAAACAACTGTGGGCGGTTTCCAATCAAATACAATAAATCACTTAAAACTTTTTTTTAGTTGGGTTGTTATTCTTTGTTACTTCTTTGTTAGACAATATAATGCTTTTGTTTTTCTTTGGAGTGCTGATCCACTTTTCAAATTTCTATTACATTCTGCTAAACTGCAAGGTTTGCCTTGACTATTATCTTAGTGTATTGTATGAATCCAACAAATTATGGCTTATTTCAAAAACTATAGGCAGGAAAACCTTGACTCCATATACATACTACTGGTCTCTGCTGTCCTTCTAATAGCCAATTCCTTCTCTACTCTCAAGAAAACCCATTAGCATAGTTTTTATCAATCGGGAGTTTTAAGATCAAAAACTGTACCACTAGAAACTTGTTAGCTTTATGTACCATAGCATATCCTAGATTTGAGCAGCATTCAGAGAAAGCATATTGATGCTGTTACATAGAACACATTACATTAATTTAAATGCATATGAACAATTATAATTAGGTATGCTGTCCAAGAGAGGGCACCACTGATCCAACCAAAATTAGGTTACTCCTATTACAATAGAGGTCACTTAAGTCTGTAGTAAGGGTGACTGTAGATGTTCCCTCAATATTTTAGTCTTGATAGTTTGTACTGAAGGTATCTATCCAGTAGTATTTTAATTAGGGAATATACATTCTATATTTTTGCTTTGTTGCCTTTATACCAAACTGGCTCTCATTAGACAAATTAAAACCATGTTTCTGTACTGTTGTAAGACACATTATTGTTGTGGCCTGGCAGGAGCCATTGGAGCTGCCCCCAGACTCCGACAGCGAGGGGTCTTATGAGTCGGCCCTGGAGGAGGTGGAGGACTCTGGACAGGGTGCCGACTCTGAGCAGGGCGAGGAGCCTTGGATCAGAGGGAGTGATCTTGAAAACACTTGTGAGTTGTTTTGGGATGCACGCCATCGAAGGGCTACTCGGCGGCAAGAACAACTGCGTAATTATAGGAGATGATTACGCTCAGCTGATGCTTATTAAGATCCTCTCCTGATTATAAAAGAGACTGCTTGTGCCACGCCCTGTTTGCAGAAGTCAACA